TTTTCAATCGCTCGCTTTTGCGACCGCTTGTTGAATTTCCGCTTTATTTTCGACTGTGCAAAAATTCGGACTACTAACAATTTTCTGGTTTTCATAGATCATGGTTACTAGTTTAGTAACTGTGCATAGATGTTGAACAACCGTCAAAAGTTCAAATACTTTTTGTTTTAACTATCAATAATTATATGCACGCAATCTGACCTTTTGACCTAGATTTGGCTGGGATTAACTATTTTATTTTAAACAACTTATTCTGGCGCACTGCTACAAAATGTATTTCAACAGAAGTACGACATGGTTGTCTGGGTTTCTTTTCTTGACTGTGTCGAGTTTACAATTTGTATAATTATTGTTATTTCCCCCCAAGGAGAAGACAAGCCGAAGGACGATGAAGCTAAATAGAAGTCCCACGCATGGACCGAGTGAAAGAAAATATTTCCAAGGCTAAAATAAAACCTAATATATCTTTGTGTATTTGTCAATTTTGTATATATTTAGCATGACAGTATGTTCGTAAATATGTGTAAAAATCTCGTCTTTCGTTAATAATTTATTTGTTTGAAATGTCTACCGACAGTGTCCCAATAATTTTTTTGGAATATCCCCGTTGGTTTCTCCAAAGGGTCCCGACGTCAGTCATTCAACACAATCAGCATTTATTTATCGTAATTCATGGGGATCATGTCCCGTAATTTGCGGGCTGTCAAACCAAATAATTAAACAAGTACTATTTATTATATCTATATTTTTGTTTTAGCTCGCGAAACTACAACACGACATAGAGTTGTCGCGATGAAACAGTCGCCTTAAAATCGATGGAACTTCAATTATCTATTTCTCATCTTGAAATAAAATCAAAAAAAAAATCGAAGAGCATCGGGGGATATATTATTAATCAGTCTTACCAATCGCTAGCTTTATTTTATTCAAATCCATAAAATTCACGAGTTTTTCGACATTTGTTGGCAACTTCCGCGCTAAAAATGGTTGAAAGTGTGGGTGTGGTTCTCCCGCAAAGTCCCGTTGATAATACGGACAAATATGGTTCTGTGACCCAGGTTGACTCTCAGCCAATCAATGATGTTGTAACAAAGCATATTTGACGCTAATTTAAGGGCCGTCGTACCATCCAATCTCCTGCGTCGATTCACATAGTTTGTTTGTGCTGTGACAGGCTTCACAATTATTCACTAAAAAACATCGGTATATTTTGACAAACGGCCGGAATTTGATCTCAGTTCAAAAAAAGAAAAGAAAAAAAAACTGGGCTGAGATACAAATCAGTTTTGCAAGTTGGGAAATAAGGTAAACCAGATTGGGGTCGATGATATTCAGTATCGAATGACTTCCGTGTGTATCATAGGTTTCAAATTCTTCATCGACTGGGCACCACTGGACACGTTTTTTTCTGAAGCCCAATAAATTATTTCTGCATGTCAAGTGCTATTCAATTTTTTACAGGGCATGTGGCTCATTTTTATTCGAAAATATTTTTTTGTGAGAATAATGTGACTTAATTTTGAAAATTGGATGTAAAATTTTACCAGACCGACTCCACCACAACCATCCAATCGTAGTTAGAAATGTACGCACTTGTTTTGGAACTTTGTATCAAGATGGCAGGCGACAACGCCGACGCACCAGGCGACGTACGTGTGTTTTGCATGTATTGGTAGTCCGGGCATGGGATTGGACTCTGCTAAAACTAAACGAAACACAGAAAAATACCACCGAAATGAGGAATCTGAATCTGTTCTCTTACCAGCAAATAAAATGAACGAAAATAAGGTAATTTTATAACAAGAACAGTTTCATTTCGTGTAGCAAATTGCGTTGTATTCGAACGATGATTGCATCGTGTGATTTAAATTTTTCACGATTTTCCTTGCAGTCAATATGACACTCGTTCACCTTGCAGATTGTAATGTACTTCACAAAGTTTTTGGTACCCAATACTCGCAACATTAAATAATTCAAACAAGATATATTTTTAAAATGTCATTTTACTCTTGGTCATATTTTATTCCCCTTACCGCCTTGAATTTCAAATCGATTACATATCGAACTTCTGTACATGTGTTTTTTTTTTACTCTACTGCCTTTCCGTGTGAAAATAATGAGGTCATACTCATGTCGCAATACTTTGAAGCTGATGCCATGTTGATGCCATGAGACTGCGAAGCTGAGGCCACGATGATGCCACAGAATAAGCGAGGCGAACACAGCTTCAATTGTCAATGACGCGAAGCTGATGCCACAATGATGCGATGCTGAGGCGACAATGAAGCAACGCGTAGGCGACAATGATGCCACAAAAGCCAAAGCTTCCGCGAGAACTGTACTGTAGATTACATTAGAAGAAAAAAAACTGTACATTGAAATATTTGTTTGATAAGAATATTTTGTTTTTCATAGAAACAAAAATTTCTTGCACAAGCTTTTTTAAAAATAGACAATGACTCTGACAAGTTTTGGTAAAGAATTGTACTAACACCCTAAACATTTGTAAATCATGGTAGCTTACCTGTCTGAAATGCAATCTACAATTACTAATTTGAATAAATTGCAATTGGTGACAATTATTTTAGGAAAAGCTGCAGCCAATGAACAGCTGAAAGAAGAATTAGAAGGTATTATTGGTGGACTAACTGAGTATTTGAATAATGTCAAACAACAAGCAACTAGGCAGAGGGAGGATTATGATGACTTACAGAGGGAGAAAGACACCTTAATGGAACAGCTGCATCAACTGGAAGCAGAGAAGAGCATGATGAGATATGAAGTAGAAGAGAGAGAGAAGCTACAAAAGGTTTGTACACTGTCTATTGTAATGCATTTATTACCATTTACATATACATGTATGAATAAATCCATATGTTTTTACTTTTGTACTGGTGGTGTACTTGTGATGTACCAGGGGACCTGTGGTGTTCTGGGGGAAGGGCCTGTTATGCAGTGCCTAGTACTACAGTCAGTTGCAATGGATACAATTCTTTTCTGAGGACCAATAAATGAATAACTAATCTGTAATTTATCACTACCATAGAGAATAGATGACCTTGAAAAGTCTTTGGGTGAAGCTCAAACTCTGAATGAATCACTGCGAGATACACAGAATGAATTATCTCAGCGTCCTGATCCAGAAATTGAGGCTAAAATGAAAGCAGCATTGAAAGAAGCGGATAAATTACGACTTGCTCTTGAAGAGGAACAGAGGAAAGCACAGGTCAGTTACATAGTATTGAGTGATTCTAAGGATGACTGCCACACTGAGCGAACAAGCTTGGCAAGCAGGGGTTGCATTGGAGGGCATTACCTAGAAAGCAAGCCAAATATTGG